TGTAAAGCTGAGCATGTTTGGGATGGGTGGAAATAATTACTGTGGGGAACTTAGTTCTGTTATTTTGTGGAATGGACATTATATGACTATAACATTGCATTCCAAATATTTATATGTATGCCTGTAGACTAGTTTTTCTCTCAGCTTTGGTAAGAGAAGACTCATTTTGCAATATATGATGGTTACTTAACAGACTCATATCTGAGAAAAGTAATGATTAACAAGAGACTATTGAGTGCTCAATCATAAAAGGGACATTTATGTCACTCTCTCCAAAGCTCAGAAACCATCACAGAAGTGGAGGCAAAAAAAATGCAAGAGTCAGTGATTGGAGAAGGGTGCAATGTAAAGTTGTGATCAGGATATGACATGACCATATACTCATGAACTCACAGCAGTTGTGGTACCTGCACAATATCTATACAAAACCTGGTCTGTGAACACTATCTCATGAACAGGGAGCAGCTCATGAGGCTCTGTTCCTCCTTCCATGAGCAGTGAACTATTACAGTGAATATTCTCCTGCCCACACTCAAAAAACAATCTTAATTACATTCAACAGGCCACAAGAAGAAAAAAAAATGTGAAAGGAGGATTGAAAAAAATCAGTGGAAGGGGGGAAATGAGATAACGTAGGTGATTGTAAACTATATATATGTATATGAAATTGTTAAATTATTATTTAATTAAAAAACTAACTTCATGTTTAATGTATAAATGATATAAATAGACATTTATTCAAAAAAGATATACAAGTGAAAGTAGGAAATTAAAAATATAATCTACTTTACTAAACAAATGAGAAAGTCAAATCAAAATCACTGTAATAAATATCTCATACCCATTAATATGTCATATCCAAAATGAAAATCAAAATGCAAGTGATATTGATGATATGAAGAAATTATGAACTTCTGTTTGTTCTAGAAAGTATTTTGGCAGGTATGGACTCAATAAACTAAAAATGGAATTATGTTATTGTACAATCTTACTTCTTTGTATATTAAAGAGATTTTAAAGCAAATTTTAACATCTGTGCCTTCATGTAAACTGTTGGAACTCTTCAGCTTTTTTACCAATAAAATAAAAGTTTGGTTTTCCTTTTATTATTATTATTATTCTCATATCAATAAAGAAATCTAGTTTTTACTTAATGTTCATTGTCTTCTCCAATTTGTCATAGACCTGTCATTGAGGCCTTTAATTCCCAACTCCAATTCCCTTTTTCATAAATTTATTTTTTTATTTTCCACATCTACAAAAGTTGTCTTCAGATTGGCACTAGCTAAGCCATTTCTTCGGTCCTGCTATTTCTTTATGGCATGGCCAACATTCTTGTCTACTAACAGAACATGCACATACATGCTCCAGTTTACCTCCTCACAAGTTAATGATAAAGGATATTAAATAATTGTTTTTTATATCAATGGGAGTAACAGACCAGAGGATAGAAAGCAGCATGTTCTACAATACCAGGAGCAGTTAACACATTCATGGAATCAGGTATTTTCTCTGATAGATATACCTACTTTGAAAGGTTATTATAGGTTCTTAAGGAAGAAAAAACAAAACACACCCCTCCAAAACTATGTAGAATATGTAAAGGAAGAAATATTATTAGAAAATATGTTTTCATAGATTTAATAGAGTCATCATTTTTTAATCTAACTTTCTATAATGAGGACTTTTATTATCTGAACATTATGAAAGCAATAGAACCAAAAATTCTGGCCCCAGGGTCTTTTCTGAGACTGATACTCCGCACAAGGACCATTCATGGAGACAACCTAGAAACCCTAAACAGATGTAACTCATAGCAGTTCAGTCTCCAAGTAGGTGTCCTAGTAAGGGCAACAGGGGCTGTCTCTGACATGAACTCAGTGGATGGCTCTTTGATCACGTCCCCCTTTGGGAGGGAGCAGCCTTACCAGGCCACAGAGGAAGACAGTGCAGCCAGTCCTGATGAGATCTGATAGACTAGGGTAAGTTGGAAGGGGAGGATGTCCTCTTCTATCAGTGGACTTGGGGAGGGGCATGGGAGGAGATGAGGGAGGGAGAGTGGGATTGGGAGGGAATGAGGGAGGGGGCTACAGCTGGGATACAAAGTGAATACATTGCAATAAATAAAAAAATTAAAAATAGGCTTATGTAGAACTTGATCTTAACAGTTGGTGTCTAGGTTGGAAAAATAGAGTATCTTCTTGAAGAAGGCTTTTTCCTGTGTTGGATGATGTTGCAGAAAACTTGCATTAGATATTTTTTTCCACACTAATTAAAACAACCATAAGAGATGCTGTGAAAGGGAAAGCAAGCCTTCCACTCATTAAAATAACTCTGATATCAACTTCAATCTACTTACTAATGTACATTCTTCTAAGGACTTTGTTGACAGAAATGTACGCAGTTATTTTAAAAGCACTATGCTATTCTGTTTTTCTTTACATTTTAAAGATAAGAAGAAATCAATGCAAATGCATAATAAATTTCCCAGGGTCAGAAATGACTACTTACAAATTCAACATTTGGCCTGTATGCACATAGTTAGAATCAATTAAGGTAATTTCTCAAAGAAATACAGTATCTCTTGCATCCATCCTTTGGTTTCTGACATTCCTGAACACTCTTCAATGCTTTCTTTGCAATTGTCCTTAGAAATAGGTCCTATGCCATGGCATTCAGTGTCTATGTTACATGCATTTCATTTCTTCCTGTCAAATAAAGCTGTTGTTTACCTTCTGATGAGTAAAATATTTTTAATTAATTTGACATTTTTTAAGTTATCAGAGTTGTGAATATTTTCTGTGTTTTTACTAGAGGATTTTCATTTCGTTAAAATAATTACAGAAGCCAAAAGTCAAAAAGTTTTGCTGTGTCTTGCTTTATGAGCTGAGGTCCTCCTAAAAGTGTTCTTTTATTTGGACCTATAAACTTTAAAAGATACTTAGTTCACCAAAACTTTCTGCCTGACACAAAATGGGAATCTTAACCCCTGAATTGCAATCTTGGAAGATAACAGGCTCACTCCATGTACCTTGTACTGTGATTGATTTTCAGCTGCTCTTCAGCAATCGGCGAGGCACTTAATTGAAAAAAAATTCTCCATTCTTTCAAACTCTGCCAGGAGCAAACACAGAGGAAAAGTGTGTTTTCTCCTAGTTAGACAAACTCTAAATGCATTCAACAGCTGATGTGGAAGTAGGTGATGAGCAATCATAGGAAGCCTAGCCTCTCTGGATAGTAAAGAATGTACTTTAATGTTGTGCCAATGTACCAGCATTGAGGTTTTCAAAAACAAATGCTCTGTTAAAATACTCAGAGACTTCTATACTGTCGACTTTTCAGTTCTTACAACACTAGGATGTATGCAATTATGAATGTCTTTCCATGGCCACCACCACTGAATGGTCATATTTAGCATGTATTCTGAATCAGCTTTATCATAAGATAGAGTTTTCTAAACTAACAACTAACCACAAAAAGACATAATTTCTGAGATGAAAATTTGTTACATATAGTAACACAGGTTCACAAAATGTCAGTAAAATGTTTTGACGTTTTCGTTTTTCCATGAATAACATGACAGAGACCCAGCCCAACAGCGATGATTAGAAGACAAGCTATTTGTGTTGGTCATAAAAATTCATAGTGTTGCAAACTGGGCTGACAAGAAAAATCCAACATCTGAATTGGGCATATCAGAATATGAGAATAGCCACGTATTTGAACATTTATGTGTTCAACAAGCATTTTTAATATCTCTAGTGTGAATCAAAATGTTACATCTTAGCCAAAATAGTCATCATCAGAAGATATGTGAAGTTATAAATTCACATTCAAAAATTATAATTTCACATGCATGCAAATCACACATATTTCATGCATTTTATGTTTTTTTTATTGTAAGCTAGAAACACCTATATGAAGTAAAAATTACTGCAGTATATTTGACAAACCACATATATTTTGTATTTAACTTATAAGCCTATGTTAATATTGAGAACTAGGAGAAAGTGAAAACAAAGAGATGTAGGAGGAAAATATGTTATATCATATAGTTGATTCATTTAACACGAGGATTCCAGCATTGGGAAATCAAAGTACAAAGCAACCTATTAGATTTATTAGATATTGCAGAGCTGATACAACTATCTATACCAACTAAGTTGATAGAGAAATATAATAAATAAGATATAATATAAGAAGACTATTTAAAAATAGTTTATCAACCCTCATTCAGAAAGGCTAATGGGATGGACATCCGAAGAGGGAGAAAACAGGGAACAGAACAGGAGCCTACCACAGAAGGACTCTGAAAGATTCTACCCTGCAGGGTATCCAAGTAGAGGCTGACTCATAACAAAATTTGGGGGAGAATGCAGGTAATCTTATGAAAGAATGGGGAGGTAGAAAGACCTGGAGGGGACAGGAGCTCCACAAGTTAAAAAGAAAAAACAAAACAAACAAACAAACAAACAAACAAACAAAAAAAACCAAATATGGCCACAGGGATCTTATTTCTGAGACTGATACTCCAACCAAGGACCATTCTTGGAGATTACTAGATCCCCTGCACAAATATAATTTATGGAGTTCAGTGTCCAAGTGGGTTCTTTAGTAATGGGAACAGGGACTATCTCTGACATGAACTAAGTGGCTTGATCTTTGAGGAAGACAATGCATCCACTTCTGATGAGACCTGATAAACTAGGATCAGATGGAAGTAGAGGAGGTCCTCCCCTATCAATGGACTGGGGGAGGGGCATGATTGGAGAAGAGGGAGGGTAGGATTTGGAGGGGACAAGGGAGGGGGCTAAAGTTGGTATACAAAGTAAATAAACTGTAATTAATAAAAAAATAAATAATTTTTTAAAAGTAGTTTATCAGTATCTGAAATGTGGTTTAGCAAATATGATGTTAGGTCAAAAGAAGATGAATTTTACTTTTACTATATATGTGCTCTGTAAAAAGAATTCTATTGATTATCAACAGATATTTTTTTGTTAAGTATGGAATGCTTCACTAATTTGTGTGTCATTCTTGTGCAGAGGGCATGTTAATCTTCTCTGTATCGTTCCAATTTTAATATATGTGCTGCCAAAGCAAGCATCAAATATTGATTATTATTTTAGATATCATATTAACCTATCTCAATTTCTCTATTTTCTCTTTTATTTTATTTTTAAATTATTATTTTTATTACAGTTTATTCACTTTGTATCCTGACAGTGACTCTCCCTTGTCTCCGCCCAATCCCACCCTCTCCGCCCCCCAATGTGCCCCTCCTTTTCCCTTAGTCCACTGAGAGAGGAGGTCCTCCTCCCCTTCTATCTGAATCTAGCCTATCAGGTCTCATCAGGATTGGCTGCATTGTCTTCCTGAGTAGCCTGGCAAGGCTGCATCCCCCAGGGGGAAGTGATCAGAGAGCCTACCACTAAGTTCATGTCAGAGACAGTCCCAGTACCCCTTACTAGAGCACTCACTTGGGCCCTGTGGGTTCTGAAAAGGATGATACACCAACCAAGGACCTAAACCCTGCTCAGATATAGCCCATAGACTCAGTCTCCAAGTGATATTTCATTAATATATTTTAAAATTGCTTTTTAAATTTGCTAGAAAATGTAAACATCATGAAACTATTCCACATTAGTTGGGGTAAGCTAAATTCTTTTCCAAGTCATGCTCATTCTTATTTTCCTTAAAAATAAACTATCTCTAATTCCCTTGGAGTAAGAGAAAGTTGAATTGCCAGCACAGTTAGAGAATTCACTGGCAGACAGACAGGACACTACTCGAATTTAGAAAATCTACACTATACTTTCCAAATATTTTGTTTGTTTATATTTTTTCTTTGGTTATAACCAACTCGACCCTAGGACCCTAGGTGCCTTTTAAAAACACAATGTAGTAAAATCTGATTGTTTATTCAGTTTATTTCTCAGTGCTTCTTTTGAATCTACTGTAGACTCAATGAGGAAACTAGCATTTTTGCTATGGGCAACCCAAAGAAATTAGTTCTATTTCATGTGAAACAGTGTTTCCCTTAAAAGGTCTGTCCTAATGACTTACTGTGTGGACATGGCCAGACACTAGATAGTGACCCACCAACAGCTTTATCTTATGTGTGTTCCCAGTCATTTATAGCAGCTTATTCTACAAGCTACTCATCGATACTTAGATTAACAACTGCAAATTAGTTTACTAGATACAAATATGAAGTTTGCTTCTCAGAGCAGGTATGTGAAGCAGAGACTGCTTCTATCTCCATGTTACGGAGATAAGTAAAAAAAATATAAGCTATTTTATTTGCCTAAGTCTCCACCATTTGTAGTGAGAAGAGATGAGATAGAATCAGGCTCTCCAGCTGAAATGTATACTACCAGTGTTCAAGGTTTGAGAGCATTGGGAACAACAAAATTAAAATGGATTGAATTGTGTTCTAAAACTCTTCAAAATACTTGAGGGTCTACATTTCCATATGTGCTTAAGCTTCATTTTAGTTTAGACCTTTTATTTGTACTACAACTATTTAGCACCCAAATCCAGTGAGAATTGAATTGATTGCAGAAAGCCAAGGCATAGGAATCCCACACCCTTATGCCCCTGGAATGACTCTGCTATCTACCATGTCATGTTTCCATTTTTACAACACCTTATAACTACCTTAATAATAAGCTGCCATTAAATCTGTAAACTGTGGAAGGTCACTGAAGTATGTGTGTGATTAAGAGTAAACAGAAATCTCATTGTCCTGGCCTCACGCAGACTCACATATCTTGGTGCCCTGTCTGTGTGCTGCTGTTTAATGTTGCGGGAGAGGTGCTGCTTCTTCCTGAAGCCCACACCTCTGTTCTGGCTTCCCTGGGACGGAGGCTTAACTTTTGGAATTAGAAGTAGAGTTGCTGTGCCATTTGTTTACTTCCAGAAAACTGTGATCAAAAGCCCCTAACATAAGCTAAAAAACATAGCTTAGAGGAGTCAACATCTGGTAGATAATACTTAAATTCCTTGCAATCCTACTTTTACACCCTGCTAGGATAAAATCAATCTTCTCTTTAGTGGGAAAAACAAAATAAACAATAACTTTCTTGCTGTGAATTTAAGTCTGAAGTTTTAAAAACTAATTCCTGCTTATTTTTCAGAGACAGCTGTAGCTTCTGTAGTGATTTGTGTCTTCAGACAAAATGAGTACAAAATAGATACTTGTCAATACTTTTCAGGATGACTTGACCAAATTAAGTATTAAGTTGAGGACAGAGAAACAGTTTATTGTTGGGTGTTTTTGAACACACACACACACACACACACACACACACATACTCTCTTTCTGTGTGTATGTGTGTGTGTATGTGTGTGTGTGTGTGTATGTGTGTGTCTGTGTGTGTGTGTGTGTGTGTGTGTGTGTCCATCTACAATGCTCATCAAAGCTAGAAGAGAGTGTCTAATCACCGGGAGCTAGAATCACAGTCAATTGTGAGCTGCCTAATCTGGGTACCGGTGCCAAACTCAATTCCTCTGGAAAAGCAGTTTTCAAACCACAAAAACATCCCTCCAACACTGAGAGTTTTAAAATAAACACTTAGAGCATGTTTATGAAAATGATAACATGAAAGGTAAAAGTAAAGTAGATATCATTCCTTAGCACAAAAATAAAGAAAAGTCTTTAAAGTTATAAATGGTGATGATAAAACAATAATTAAAATCTTCTTCAACCAGGAAAGACTTCCAGCGAAAGGAAGGGGACACCAACCAGCCACAAAGCCTGAGACCCACAATTTGACATGTCACCAAGATAAGGAACAGAATTGAGGGAACGACCAACCAATGACTGGCACATCATGAGACTCACTAAAGAGAAAAAAAAACTTCTGACACTGTTATTAATACTCTGCTACACTTACAGAACGGAATCTAGCATAACAACCTTGAGAGAAGCTTCCTCCAGCAACTGATGAGAACAGATGATGAGACTCACAACAAAACAGTAGGAGGAGCTTGGGAAATTCCGTGGGAATGGGGGACAAATGATGAAGGAGCCAGAGAGGTCAAGAACACTACAAGAAGGTATACAGAATCAACTAACCTGGACCTGAAGGGGCCCACAGAGACTGAACCACCAAACAGAGAGCATACACAGATGAACCTATGCCTTCAACACATATGTAACAGTCGTGTAGCTCAATCTTCATGTGGGTCCCCTAACAGTAGGAGCAGGGACTATAGCTGACTCTGTTCCCTGCCTTTGGATCCTGGTCCCCTAACTGAGGTGCTTTGCTTAGCCACATAGGACAAGATGTGCTTAGTTCTACTACAACTTATATGCCAAGACATATTGATAGCTGTGGGAAGCCTCCCTTTTTCTGAGTCTCTCTTGAGGGAAAAGGGAGGACAGGGGATGAAGGCAGGAAGTGAGGTAAGAGGGAAGGACTGGGAGGGGAGAAGGGAGCTAAAGCTGTAATTGGGATGTAAAATAAATTAATTAAAATAAAATTACTATTTTGTATATTTTATTAGTATATTTTTATAATTATTTGTATATTTTTACAAATAAGTGGCTTAAATAATTTGTGTTTAAGATCACATGGATCTAAACTTTTCAACTCTAAATGAATTAGATGAATGGAAATTATTTCATGCTGAGACTCCATCACTGAAGAACTGTGCTAATTCTGGACAAGCACTGATGTAGGCACTAAAAGACTGCCTAATAGGTTATTTGCATATATTTATTCAGCTAGGATAGAGGCAAAAATAATTGTGGAAGCCATACATTACAATTTTCTATTAAAATTATTCATGATTAGGTAGTTTCAATAAGGCAGATAAGAATACAATGCTGGCTGGAGAAAGAGGTCCCAGGTATAATCCACAGTGCAACAACAACAAAACAACAAAAAAATAGATAAGAATTTTACTAAGACATATGTCATTTTAGGAACATATAATCTGAAGTACATGCTTCATAGAGTTGGAATTAATGTAGCAGAAATGGTAATTGAGAGGTAAAAATTCTTCAAAGTAGTAGAATCTTCTAAGATCTTTGCACTTAGTCACCTTAGACAGGTGGTTAGGTTTCTAGTACGTAACATTTTTTTTTCTTTTGAGTGAGCCTTAAGTTCACTTAGACAACTCTTGCATTATCATCACTATTACACCTTTCAGCCACTATTACAACTTTCTGGATATCTTACCAATCTGCTCTAATTATCATGCCAATTACTATGGTCCATCTGTGTCACAGAGGATCAGGACTATTAATTACTTCTCTTGTTGACCTTGTGCCTAATACTTTCTGGTACAATGGTATCTCAATGATGAAAGGCTTTCAAGCTATATTCAGCTCTAATCATGTAAGTCCTGTATCCCAAGTGTACAGTGAATTTAGCAATAGTGGCTTACCTTCACCATAGTGTAAGAAGCACGATAGACAACAATAGTCTATAATGGTTTAGGAATCACTTGGTGTGCCTGGATTGGCCCCTTAAAAGGTTTCTTAAGATTAATGGTGGGTTTTGTGTTATTCTATGGTTTATATGGGGAGCACTGTTGGCCTAAGTGTCATAACTGCATTTGAATATATTTATATGTATGAATAAGCATTTACTTTTGTGTATCATATGTAATGTTTAGCTATCACCTTTTATCCAAGAAACATCTTTCTGTAGCAAAAGGAGACCATTACTAAAATATAACACCAGACACACTACAAAGATTAGTAGACTGTGGTGCTAAATCTCCAATGGGTACATCTACATTACAACTCCTGAATCTATGGTTCAGGAAACCTCACAGAAAACTGGTACAGAAAGTTAGTAAGAGCTAGAATATGAGGAAGTATGGGGTGGGACTGACTCTCTTAGAAATAGTAGCATTTCTAAGAACTGAACTGACCCTATTAACAGATATACTAAAGCAGAAGGGTTAAACCTAAGGAGAACCATCCCAAAGACAGAAAGCTACAGGCAACTACAGGAATGCTCAGAGGGGAGGAATTACCTCTCCAAAGCATGAGCTTCCTAACTGGTATCCAGTACAAAGTGTTCAGCTCTGAAATCATATACACACAAATATTGAAAAATGGTTTCCGGATACTGTATTTATGTATT